AGAGAGAGCGAGAGAGAGAAAGAGAGAGAGAGAGGGGTGCAGGTTAATAACACCAGCACAAGTTTGACTGTACCTGCTTTAACAGATCAAACAGTAGGTCTGTGTGTATCGTGCGTTCGTGAGCCTCATCCAGCATGATGCCCGCGTACGCTTGAAGGTCCGGGTCTAGCAGGCACTCACTCACACCACCGTGATAAACCTTACCCACCTCCTCCTCCTCCACCTCCACCTCCTCCACCTCCTCCTCCTCCACCTCCTCCTCCTCCTTCACCTCCTCCACCTCCACAACCACCACGGATACCTGCTTACATTCAAGCTTCTTATATATCATACCTGCTTACATACACGTATATATTATATTAGTATATATTTATTATACATCATACCTGCTTTAACAGACCGAACAGTACGTCCGTGTGTATCGTGCGTTCGTGAGCCTCATCCAGCATGATGACCGAGTACGCTTGCAGGTCCGGGTCTAGCAGGCACTCACGCAGCAGCATGCCATCTGTCATGTACTTCACCTGTGTCTCCGGACTCGTGCAGTCCTCGAAACGGATCGTGTAGCCGACCTGCGAGAAACAAGCGAGCAGCTGTAGAGCCTTTTCCTCTTCCCCCTCTACCTCCTCCTTCGCCTCCACCTCCTATCCGTGTCTCCAAATCGGCAGTCAAACTCCCTCCTCCTCGACCCTTTTTTGCTTTCTCCCTCTTCTCATCCTCTCCCTCCTCTCCTCCTCCTCCTCCTCCTCCCTCCTCCCCTCCTCTTCTTCTTGCTCCCTCCTTCCTCTTCTCCTACTCCCTCTCCCTTCCTCCCCCTCCCCTCTACTCTTCTTCCTCCTCCTCCGCCACCCCCTCCTCCTCCCCTTCCACCCCTCCTCCTCCTCCTCCTCCACCCCTCTACCTCCTCCTCCTCCTCCTCTCCATACCTCCTGTCCGAGTCGGCAGCCGAACTCCTCTGACACGCGCTTGGCTACGGACATGGCAGCGACACGGCGTGGCTGCGTGCATCCGATCTTCCCCCTCACGGTGTATCCGCTCTCCGCGAGGTACTGCGTGATCTGTGTCGTCTTCCCCGATCCCGTCTCGCCGATCACGATCAGGATTTGATTGTCGTTGACGGCCTGCCGTCAAAAATATTCGTCGTAAATGTTTTTTCGCGCGAGCGAGAGGAATTTTGCGCCGTAAACATTTTTTTTTTTTATTTAAGATTAAATTACATTAAAGAATAAAAATAAAATATGATATTATGGATGATAAAATAAATCAATACAAACAAAAATGTAAATTAAGTGAATTAAAGATTTTTTTAATTACATCTGCACGAAATGATCCCAATTTTTTTTTTAACTGTTTCAAAAAATCACATCTACCTAAAAATTCTACTTACGCGTAAAACAAAACATGGATTAAAACAAAACGAACATAGATTAAACAAGAACGAACAACAACAAATTACAGAAAAACAGTAAAACAAAACATTAAAATAACACGAAAAAGAAAATTCCTCCATAAACAATCAAGCAAACAAGCGACACCCTCCCTCCTCCACGACCCTCTTGACCTTGACTCCTCACCTTGACGAGTTCCTCCTTCAGCTTGTAGATGGGGAGACTCTCTCGTTGCTCCAGCAGGGTCTTGCTCGTGCGCTGTCCGTACGACGCCTTCGTGCCGCCCGTGATGTGCTTCTTCCATTCCGGAATGTCCTGCTGGGGCAGTCCCACGCCTCGCATGTTAGCCGCAAGCGTGCGCCCATCCTCTGCGAAAACCGATCGAGATAGATGAGCAGTGTTTCCCCTGCATCGACACGAGCGAGGCGGGCCGCCTCGTTCACATTCTCAGCCGCCACACAGAAATTTGTCCAAAACACTGCCTTGCTGACAAAAATCAATGTTCTTCCATAGAACAGTGCTTCTAATGCACCAAAATAGCTTAGAATGCACCAAATTGGACCATTTTTCAAAAAAATTCTGGGGGGCATGCCCCCGGACCCCACTAGCTACCTGCGCTGCTCGCTTTGCTAGGACCTCGAAACGCGCAAATACACCAAAAAAATGTTACCACCTCACAGACCTTTTAGGCCAGGGGAAACACTGGATGAGGTCAGATAGATAAGGTCAGATAACCATATTACATTATTATTATATTAT